CAAGAAGCGTCATGGGTCAAGATGAGATCCGTCACCGAGCAGGGCTCCCTCGACGAGTTCCTAGCGACGGCCGAGATAGCCGACACCGATTTCACAGCCGAGAAGGCGAACAATGTCAAGATCATCCAAATCGACCAAAAGAACCCCTACCTGCTATCCGCAGCCGAAGAGAGGATCGTGATGGGAAAGCAGTTGGAGAACAGGGCAAAGTTGACGGTACCCCGGAGACCGAAATGGGATTCCAAGACCACACCCAAGGAACTGGACCGTCTGGAGAAGGAGAGCTTCCTCGACTGGCGGAGAGGCCTCGCCGAGCTGCAGGAGACCCAAGATTTGTTGATGACACCCTTTGAGCGAAATCTCGAAGTCTGGAGGCAGTTGTGGAGAGTTATCGAGCGTTCCGATGTCGTGGTGCAAATCGTCGACGCTAGGAACCCTCTCATGTTCCGGTCCGAGGATTTGGAACAATATGTCAAGGACGTTGACCAGAGGAAGCAGAATTTGCTTCTCATCAATAAGGCCGACATGATGACATATACACAGAGGAAAGCGTGGGCCGATTACCTCAAGGGCGCAAACATTGCATACAAGTTCTTCTCCGCCGCTCTAGCGAAGGAGGAGATTGATGCCCGGGCGGAACTAAAGGAACAAAATGGCGCCGAAGCCTCTGGCGAGAGCTCTTTGGTTCAAAAAGAGGAGGCAAGGCCTTCTAAGGATGAGTCCGAACCCTCAGATGGGGATGAGGAGGAGGAGGAGGAGGAGGATGAAACTACGCATATCCTCAATATTGAGGAGCTAGAGCAGCTCTTTTTGCAATACGCGCCGAAGGACGCAGGTACGCTACGGCATCTCACCCAACCGTTTACCAACCACTAACATAATTCCAGGGCCGGATCGCAAACTCCAGGTAGGATTGGTCGGTTACCCTAATGTCGGAAAGTCTTCCACCATCAACGCTCTCATCGGAGCCACGAAGGTGTCTGTTTCTTCCACCCCCGGAAAGACCAAGCACTTCCAGACTATCCACCTAAGCGACAAGATCATTCTATGCGATTGCCCCGGTCTCGTCTTCCCCAACTTTGCCAGCACCAAGGCCGAGCTCGTCTGCAACGGCGTCCTCCCTATCGATCAGCTGCGCGAGTACAGCGGGCCCGCCACCGTTGTCGCCCGTAGAATCCCACAGCGCTTCCTTGAGGCCCTCTACAGCATCCAAATACGCCTCCGGCCAATCGAGGAAGGCGGTACCGGAATCCCTTCTTCGGAGGAGTTGCTCAGCTCGTATGCCCGCCATAGAGGTTTTATCACGCAGGGTTTTGGTCAGCCAGATCAGGCACGTGCTGCGCGGTACATCCTCAAGGATTATGTTGCCGGTAAGCTGCTGTACGTCATGCCGCCACCAGGTGACTTCGACCCCAAGGAGTTCAACGCCGAGCTCTACGACATGGCGCATATGCCCGAGAAGAGGCAGCAGGCCTTTGCCGCAGCTATGGATGCCCTTGCGATCGAGGAGGACCTCGAAGAGGAGGCGCTGCTATCGGCCGACGTCGTCCCGCTGCCCCAGGGTGCAAAGTCGAAGCGCATCGACAAGGCTTTCTTCAAGCCTGGAGACCGAAACGCCGGCCACATGGCGCTGCCGTTCAACTCAAAGTACAACGACCAAAACGTTGCGGCCATACTTTCGGGAAAGCAGCCGACGGGCCGTAAGCTGAGGCTGGCACTCGCCGCAGAACATGGAATCGATCCCAAGGAGGTACAGATGATGGCGGGGAAGAAGCACTTTAAGGGGGGGAGGCTGCCGAAGGGAAAGCTTAGGGCACAGAACAAGACTGTGGATGATGATTGAACACGTCGCTTTGCGCATGGCTTTGTGCTTCGGGTTATAGAAATAGACTCGTAAATGAAAAAGGCAAGAGCCAAATGATGTTATGCTTGTCATAGCAGGGTTTCCGAGTTGCGAATTGCCGGTGAGTTCGCTTGTCAGTCCCAATTCGGTTGCACACGACAGCAGAGCGGTTCCCTTCGCCAATTGCTATCAGCATCAAAACCAGCCGCTTCAAGACACTTCCCAACAACCACATGAACATTCCTAGGCTTCCTCCCCCTTCACCTCATCTCCAACCGCCTCCGACGCAAAAGTCGCTGGGGTCCCGCCCACAGCCCACACCAGTTGGATAAGCTTCTCCTCGAGCTTGCGCGCCGCGGGAATCAGCTGCTGCCACTCGTCGTGCCACACGAGGATGTATCCTTGGGCCCTGACCAAGCACGCGTTCTGGAATTTGTGGATCCTGTCTGGCCGTCGCCGTGGCTAGCGACTCGCTAATCTAGAGCTGCGAGCCGTTAATAAAGCGAACTACGGTTTACTCTGGGCGGAGGGTTGATAGCAGCTTGTCGTGGAGCCAAGGGGGTATGATGGCCAGGGCTGCGTGGAGGTTGAGGGCGCCGACGCAGGTGGTTAGGGAGGGATCGAGGTCGGCTGGGGCGGTGGTGTAGTGGCCCCGGGAGACGCGGAGGAAGGCGCCGAGGGCGCGGTGGGGGGCAGATGTTTTGGGTTGCTTGGCTGGGGAGGTGGGTGACTGCCTGGAGGGGTGAGTTGGGGTGGGTGAGTGGTGGGTGTACTATTTTTTAAATGGGCGTCTTCGAGGTCGTTGGTGTTGTCGCCCATATTTTAGGGGGGAGGAGGAAGCGTTGCGGTGCTGGATGTTGGAGCCCCTATATTCTTTCGGGGTTGTGTTGAGTGTTGAGTGACACACCAGAGACAAAGTCTTCAATGAGGCGAGTTCGTCAACCTCTGATAAGTCTTCAATCGATTTGAACCCTGAAACGTACCAACACAAGCTGAACGCTAAGCACCTCCTAGGTCAATACATGCATGCTGTTGTCTCTCAATTCAGCAACAGTTCCCCTGTCTACTATGTATTGGTTCGCTGACGCTCTATTGGAACGCCACGCGGACGGACTGTCTGAATTTGGACTAGCAATGGTTTCCCGCCATCCACGCCATAGATTTGACTCCCTCCGCCAGGGCTTTACAGCTCGAAACAAACCCCCAGGCCCTTTCACAGTTATACAAGACCATCTGCGTTGCATAGGAGGGGCTGCGGGTACCGCAGCCATCACTCAGCAACACCGTGTCAAAGCCCAAGTTGCAAGAATCCTGGAGGGAAGAAAACACACATTGATCGGTGTTCACACCCGTGAAGAGCAATGTCGTGATCCCCTTCTTCCTTAGAAACTCCACCACCGGCGTCGACCCACCCCAGAACCCGGAGAGTCTGTTCTTCCAGAAGCTGTGGTCAGGCAGGGCAGTGCTCTGCGACTCGTCGAAACTCTTCTGCAAGGGCCCATGAAGCGCCGTGTTCCACTGGTCCCGCATGAGAAGCCGGCCACCCGGCACGGACTCGCCGTCGCCCAGCTCCACTGGACCAACGTCCTCCCCCAAGTCATAACTTCTCACCTCTCCTTTCCCCTGGGCAATCTCAGCACTCCCCGCAGTCCTGTAAGACCCAAAAGCCCGGAACAGCGTCGGCGGCAACGCTCCCAGCTCGGCATCCTCAATGCCCCAGATAACGTGGACGATCTGGATACCGGCGGCGCGGGCGGCGGGGAAGGCAGTCGACAGCAGCGTGGTCTCGGCTTCGTGGCCCTCGCCGCGGACGCGGCCGAGGGCCTCCGAGAGGAAGAAGTTCTGCATATCGATGACGATAAGGGCCGTCTTGGCGGGCGCGATGGCCACGGCCACATCGTTGGTTGTCGCCAGCCGCAGGCGCGGGACTACCGGCGGGCTGGTTGGCGTTGAGGGGTGCGTGAGGTCGTAGCCCGTGCTGGCGTTGAAGAGCCAGAAGCTAGTGTCGGCGTTGCCGACCACCTGGGAGGGGGGTTGGGGGGTCATGGCTGGTGAGTTTTGGGGCTGTGAGGACTGGAGATGTTGTTGGCGCGATGGATTGGGAAGTGGTCTTGAAATGCGGGGTGGGAATTCCGTTTGAATGTTGCCTTGTATGCACCAGATCTTTCTGCGAGTCAAAAACCCACTGATGAAATTGAACTCCGGAGTCTCTCCTAACCCTTTTATCTCGGGTATCCCAGGCAATCTATCGCCCCATGGTGCTCTTCATTGTACTCCAATGCTAATATGGCGAGGGAGATTGACAATCGTGTGGCTAGAGGATGATTTTCAACACTTGACTTGGGAGTCTTCGTCCATGGTTTATTCATGGTATTTGACATTGACCTGAGGCTCAGATAGGTTTCACTTTTTTAATCCTTTAAGTTTCTGCAACTGGACTTCTGACGTATTATTGCCCAGGCCTAAGTCAAATCACTCGACCTCCGGCATACGACTTTTGGGTCATCCTCAGTGAACCAATGAGAGGGCAAGAAGCCTAAACGAATATATGCCATCATAAAGGTGGGCTTCCGCTTTGAACTTTCATGGCAGCGAAACACCAAAAATTATCTGAGCCTCAACTTTGATAGAGACCAAGAGAGCAGAACATAAGAAAGTTAAGCAGGACCGCAAAAAGGTTGGACACGCGGGGAATTGAACCCCGGACCTTTCACATCAGATGTTGTAATGAACATGCGAAGCGAACGTTATACCCCTAAACCACGCGCCCAGTGTTGTGTGTTTGATGGTGTGGAACATCGAAAGATGGCTCGTAACTGGGAAATGCCCGCCGAGGGAGTGGATTGGGGGTGGGGGCTTTGAGTCAAGAATTGGCATTGCGTTTTGAGCCAGAGGAGACTAGCAAGATTGTTGAGCTGTAAGTTGGTCTCAGTGGTAAGAAAATAACGTTTATTGAGATACCTAGGTAAGGCAGCTTTCTTGTCCATCTGCTTTACGTTAGGGGCGTGAGGGTCAATCCGTTTCCTCCAAAAGCCAAACTTCGAGGTTCACGCTAACCACCCCTACGACCTAGGTGGAGCCTCTGGCTCAAAGCCAGGCATGACTCATGGAGTGCATCTGAAAACCTTATCAGCCTTCCCAACATCGAAACACGTCCGGTCGCACGGTGTAGTTGGTTATCACGCCAGCTTAACAAATCTCGTATTCTCCATCAGGTTGATCAGTCCCGCTGAAGGTCCTCAGTTCAATCTTGAGTGCGGTCACTTTTTGACCATTGACTGATACATATCACGCATGTCTTGAAATTCATTTTTGTTGTTTATGCTTCTCCCTCTGCAGGGGGGCGAGAAGGGAAGGAGCGGTTTTGTCACCTGCCAAAAATGCCCTCAATCTATCCTAGGCGGGCAACTGACTCTCGAAGCACAGCGCGTATTTAAGGCCTTTTCAGTTATTTTTTCAGTCAAATTACTAATGTAATTAATACACCATTTTCAAACCAACAACCCGTCTGTTTTGTCCCTAAGCCCTGAACCTCCTCGTCGTCACTGCCCTCGTTCCATTGGCCGCCAGTCGCTTGAATGTGTCGACGATTCCGTCGTACGCCGGGTGCTTGGTAAAGTCCTCGAACCACAAAAGCGCCGACCCGTTGTCGGGAAAGACATCCGGAATCCAGCTGAACGGGTCGTAAAAGTCCCACAGCGTGATGCCCACGCAGGCCTTGACGCGCACACAGGCCTCGGCCACAAATTGGTAGCTCTCCTTCTGCCACGCCAGCTTGGTCTCGTTCTTGGGTGTCACAGGCACCTTGATGCGCACATCGAGCTCGGTGAAGGCGATCTCCTCAACCCCGAGCGCGGCATACGCCTCCATGGTGTCGACGTGGTCTTGCATGGTCGGGTGGTTGTCAGCGTGCAGATGCGCCTGCATGCCCACGCCATCAATGCGGATCCCGGCGTCCTTGAGTAGCTTGACGATGCGCTTCGCGCCCGCCGTCTTGACCGACGCGGGCCGCTCGATGCCGTAATCATTGTAGTACAGTTTGGCGCCCGGATCCGCTTCAGCCGCCGCCTGGAACGCCAGCTTGATGTACTCGTCGCCCAGTACGTTGTAAAACACCGACTTGCGATACGTCCCGTCCTCGTCCAGCGCCTCGTTGACCACGTCCCACGCGTAGCACCGCCCTTTCCAGTGGCCCGCGACCCCCGCCACGTGCCGCTTGATGGCCGCGCGTAGCGCGTCGGGCGTCCACTCGGTCGTCTCGACCCAGGGAGCGAGCTGCGAATGCCAGACGAGCGCGTGGCACCGCAGGATCTTGCCCGTCGCCGCCGCCAGCCCCGCCACTACTTCGCCCTCGGTAAAGTTGAACACGCCCGGCTCCGGCTCCGTGAACAGCCACTTCTGGCCATTGGTCGGTGTGGTTTGGCCGAATTCTTTCGGGTCGGCAAAGATGGCGTCGTACTTGCTGTAGGACTGCGGGAAAGGCGCGCGCTCGCGGAAGCCCGGCGTGTCGGTGGCTGCGCCAAAGTATTTCAGCCCGGCTTTCTTGGCCCAGTAGTCGAGCTGGCAGGACGCCAGCGGGAGGAGGGCCAGGAGGGTGCTGGTTGGTAACCGCATCGTGGGTGGTGGTAAGAGGCTTGACAGCGGTGGTTGGAGTCAGGAGGGGGTTGTCACGAAGGGAGGGGGGCGGGTCGTTTATACTCAGGGGTTTGCCACTTTGCGCGTGAGGTCCCTCTTACCCGGCTCCATGGGGACGGGAGTAGCTCGCAATCATTCCAGATTAAACCACCAAGCGACGACGGCGGGTCCAAGAGGGAGGGAGGCATGTCTCTGCTTCCGCGGCCGCAACCCGTTGTGTAAGTGTGTTTCCAGGTCCGCTCTGCCCAAATTTGGGTCCTCCTCTTCAGCCGAACCAGCCACTGGTATAGGGCCAAGCGCACACATTGTATGCCTGCCGGGCTCGTCTGTCCGCTCGACATTGCGGCTCGCGTAGGGGAGATCCGGGTAAAGTCGACCTGCCCGCGTCGTGTCGCTTTTCGCCCCGGCTATATTCGTGGTAGTTGCGCGTCCATTGACGAATAAACAACTTTGGTGGTTGGGGTCTTGAGATTTCTTCTGACTATTCCGGGTCTTGGAATGGGCGTCCGTTGGGGTCAGGGGCAGGTAAAGCCAAAGATTGCAAGATTTAAACCCCTGCTGACTACGATCCAACACCTGTCTGTTTGCTAGTGGAAGACTCCGAAGCTGAGTAACGGCTAGCACCTATTAGAAAAGATACATCATTGTGGATATGGAAAGGACATTTTAAAATACCAAGTCTGCCCCTTGAAATGTCTGAATTGCTGTTTTCAATCCTGGAACCCTTTTTTAAAATTCAATGTCTAGCTCCCTTCCTCTGGGGCCTTTGGAAGAAACCTTGAATGCGCGCTGAAAAGCAAACCAGTGTTGGGTTGTACCTAGTTAACTTCATCTCGACATTACGATGTGCCAAGGAGGACTAGACAAAAACCGATATCATCCAAACTGTACAGGCCCGCTGATGCTGCCAAGAAATTGTACGCCATTGCCCGTGTTATTGTTCTGAGTGCCCCCAGGAGCATTAAATTGCAATCCTGAACCGAAGTGGTTATATGAGGAGCCAAATCGTTGGTTGGCCTGCGTCTCTGCACTTGTCAACAACAGTGGTGTTGACGTCGACCGACTGGCAGCTGCGGAGGCTGGAGCACTAAGCTGTGCTTTCCATCTGACAAGTTCGCCAAGCAGCCGCTTGTACCCATTGTCCTCAACAGATCGGAACCTAACCATGTCTCCGTGATTGGCGTGGATACTGAAAGCGCTATAGCCCTCGAGAGTGGCTGATTCCTTAGACACAACCTTCCCAACCACAGGCAGAGGCAACTCCTCAAAGAAGCAAGTAACCTCGAGACGCCTACCGTCTTCTCGTAGCTCTCGAATCATTGACCAGAACCGAATCTGGAGTGATTCAAGCAGCTGGTTGTTAGTCTCCAGAATCTGCAGTAGCGACTTGTTGGTTGACTTGATGAGACCGAGGGCAGAAGCCGGTATCTTTGCCCAATCGGCCACCCACGATCCCTTGTGGGGAGTGCCCATGAACACAATGCCCCTGAGGGACTCGAAGATGCCGCGGAGATGATGCTCAGGGTTGTTTCGTGACATCAGAATGGTCTCCTTGCAGACGAGGCCCCCCAGGCTGTGGGCAATGAAGATCAAGGGACGGTTCGGAGCATCATTGAGAGCCCGGTCGTTTGTCAAATCAGTCAAGAGGTTTGTGGCGTGGTCAATGAGCCGGTTTTCGGAGGCGGTTGAGGTCGCTTTGGCTATGTAGGCGTCGTAGCCGTAGGAGAGGATGCGAGCTCCGGGAAGTTTGAGTGGGAGGAGCGTCTGGGGCCAGAACTCCCCTTGGGCGGTCCAGGTGCTGTCGCGGTCGCCAGTCAAACCGTGGACAAAACAAATGTCAACAGCGGCGTCGGCACAGTCGTGCAGCACTTTGACCCCGTCTGGAAAGGCAGATGGGGGTTTCTCATAGGACGAGCCACTCTCATCGCTTGGGTCCTGTCGATGGGAGTTGCCCGATTGTTTCCTCGATCTGAAGATCCGTAAGAGAAGTGGTTGGCGTTGCTTCATCTTTCAATGTGCGATAGACTAACCAAAAATGTGCCAGTAATCTCAATCCTACAGATTTTCCAGACAAGGCACCTAAGCTCAGACAAGATAAGAGGGATCTGGTGAATTTTAGAGTTGTTGACCTGGGAGGCGTTGAAGGGACGAAAAGGGAACCTTGAAGGGCAGGGCCGCCGGAAACGGTGCCCGGGTGCCTCTTTCCAAAATGCTGCCCAACTAATAAGGTAAACGGCTTTCAACCAGTTGCGGGTCAGAGGCTGAAGTGGCCGGAGTGGATAGGTTGGGCGCAACGCGCGCTTCAAAAACTGAGGCGTGGGGATTCGACGAATAATGGGGCTCTTCTGCCTGCAGTTCGACGCATTTCCTGGGACCTGCCATCGATTTGAGCCACTTGACCCCTCACACAATTCACCTGCCCACTGGTGAAAAAGTCATAGAGAGGCATGCAAGCCCAATCCAGGCCCGCGGTGAAGATTCCGTATGCACATTTCCGTCTTCTCTTGCGACTCTCCATCGTCCATCGCTCATCTTGTCGGCAGAGCCGAGGAGCTTTGATGGACTCACCCATTGTCGCTTTACCGTTATCGCTCCCCGACATGCCAAAAACCTGATACAATAGACTCAGCAGATACACCTAACAAACCATGGCAGAACTAGCGGACGAAGATCCTCTGCAGTTGAGCGGTGGGTCGGCAGGCTCCCAGTCCTACACCCGGCACGGGTCTGGGTCCCAGTTCAATACCCCCGGAGGCCATCAGTTCAACGCCTCAGGTAACGGCACCCAGATAGCCGGTGCTACAATCCACGGCAACGTACAAATCGGTGAGCCGTCGCATAATATCTTCATTTCCTGTGACATGTACTGATTCACCAAGATAACGGATGGAACCGAGAGGACAGGGTTGATGAAATCTTGGCGTAACTCGACGCTTTGGCATACGAAGCCCGGAAAGACCGAAATCCAACCCGGACGCCAGGCGCATGCAACTAGTTCATCTCTTACGGCCACTTCTAACACTGGCAAGAAAGCAAGGCCGAAGCCTTGCTTTAGGTATCTGCTGATCCTGGGTGCGAAAAATCAGTCCTGGCGAAGCACCTAGATACTCGCTCAGGCCCCAAGAATCTCACAGACTCCTTGTAGAGATTTGCATCTGGCACCTACTCCTGAAGGAGTTTGAGTCACACTCCGTCCATCGAGATCACCGGGTCTTTCTTGACTACTCTGCCAAGAATTGGCCCGCCCATTTCCGTCAGCCTCAGACCGAAACCTCTCAAGACAGTTTGATACAACCAGTCCTCAGGATTTGTGACACAAACTCACCTCGCTTCGAGCTGTGGTTCTGGCTGTACTGGGAAATCACCACGACACAATACCCTACGCACTTTACCCGGCTCATGACCGCGTCTTATTTTGGACTCACAAGAGTGGTGGAGCACCTCCTAACATTCAAGCCAGACTTAAGTGGTCTCAATGCCCGAGATAATATACTCCGCTGATCAGCACTATCCTGGGCTGCCGGAAACGGGTTCGACGACGTCGTTCGGTCACTACTCGCGGGTGGGGGGGTCAAAAGAATCATCAAGTTTTAGAGGCGAGCTGAAATCGATTCGGAGGATGTCGACA